ACGGAGAATTTCGTGTTTGAGGTTCCGTCGACTCGCCGCCAAGGTCACACATATTTGCTGCTTTTGAACTTGTTTCTCCACATAGAACAAGATCAAGCTCCCGCGAAAGCTTCCGCGCTTGCGATCGCGTGAGGGCCATGTACGCTAAGTTGGGGAAGAACGATTTACCCTGCTCTTTGAGAAGCTGCTCTGAGTTGTTAGAGAAAAGATAAGGAAAACGATCGGGAAGCACGGCAGACACAGCCGCTTCGGTGCGAAGCTTACCGAACGGGCCTTCAATGACAACCGTAGCTATTGGTAAGCAAGCACTCTGCTCCTCGGTGACTTGCCTGATCCACGCGCGTTCTCCTGTAAAGTCATCCGGAGACACCAATAAAGGATGGACAACATCCATGGTTGCCGCTGAGTCTCTAAGTGCTCGGCACGTTTTCCCATTCACCCTAATTTCTTGGAGATATGGCTCCAACAACCGCATGTTCTTTTTACGATTCTCGAATTGTTGCAAAAGCAAACTTTTGCTTACAGTTTATTGCGATGTGCCCTTCCTTTTTGCAGTTGTAGCAGATTAGTGGCTTCCGTGATTCAAACGCCCGTGTGGTATCAGTGCGTTGTTTAGGAACCTCACTCGATTTCTCTGCTTCTGTTTGCCCTTCCCCTACACTGTCCTTCGTAAGAGACGGGTCCTTCTTGAAATTACGGTGCGGAGCGGGTTTCCGTTGATCAGGTTTCTTCGAAAAGCCCTCTTTCCTTTTATCCTTTTCAACGCGCACTGCCCTGCTATGCAACTTTCGACGAGTATAATACTCCTCAGCTAACTCTGCTGCCTTGTTTAGCTGTACTTCACCAAGTTTGTCCTGCAGCCAAAGTTTGACATCCTCCTCGATGCAGCGGTAGAATTGCTTCAATGCAACGCATTCCACCACTTTATCGCGGTCGTCATAAACACCTTCGCCCTTGAGCCATTCAATTAAATCGGCTTTAAGACGAAACGCGAAGTCAACTTGTGACTCATTCGCCTTTTTAGCATACCGGTACCTTTGCCTGAAAGCCTCGGGTGACAACTTATAACGTCTCAAGAGCACTTCCTTAACCTCGTCATAGCTCTCAAACGCTTCCCTCGACAAGCAAGTTATCGCGTCGGACACTTCGCCGGGAAGAAGAGCTAACAGGTTCTGCGCCCAAAGAGACCGCTCCGAAGCATTTCGCTCCCAGACGTGTTCAAACTTGACGAGATACTTCGCCATGTCCTCGCCTACTACGAACGGTGGCAGTTGGTCCCGAATTCTATAACCGCTGACCTTAACTGTTGGAGAAGCTACGCTAGGCGCCTGCGAACACTGTAGTATTGCCAATTCTATTCGTTTCAACTCGAGGCGCTCCTGTCTCTCAGCCTCCTCGCGGCGTTCTCGCCTTTCAGCTTCTTCACGTTCGCGAGCTTCTCGCCTTTTAGCCTCCTCGCGGCGTGCTTTGATATCCACCCAGGCCTCATCGACTTCCTCAGCCGACACTCTCTCATCCTTCATGATCTCAAGGATCGCTTGCTTTCGTTTCGCACGGCCCAAAGTAATGCCGAGTTCCTCACAAATTTCGATGAGTTCCTTCACTTTAAGGTTCTCCATCGTTCACACTAGCCTCTTGCTGTTTTCCCCTGTTAACAATTTACTTGCCGTACCGACTATCAGTCAACTAGCAAGACGCGCAAGCAATTTTTCACACTCCCGTGTTTACCCCCTCCGCATTAACTTCGGTTTCAAAGCACTTCGACCTTGCTTCAAACGATCAAAGCTCACTTCAATGCTTCACACAGCCCTTCTCTAAACTACTACAACCTGAGCTAGAGTAGTCTGGTGAACTGAGGGGAAAACATCAGGCGCTCACCGCATCGATGTCACTGACGCCGGTCGATCCCACCGCTGCCACCACTGTTGCGAAGCGCGCCTCCGACGACGTTACGAAGGCGCTACGAATCCCACCGCTGCCACCACTGTTGCGAAGCGCGCCTCCGACGACGTTACGAAGGGCGCTACGAATCTCACCGCTGCAACCACTGTTTCGAAAGACGGCGACGCCAACACGGTCCCGAAGGCGCCACTGCTTCGAACTCCGCCGGGAAGGTCACCAGCCGTTTCGTAGCGTAGGTTTCTCAGCTCGCGACTGCTTCTGCGCAGAGCTGATAGACTAGCGGACGAGACGACGGTGAGTTAAACAAGGTTTATGTACAGCATATATACAGAGGCGTTACAAATTCGGCACTGGGGCCGACAGCTTAGAGACCCGAAGAGCCGAGCTCTCCTCTCTAACACATAGGTCTGCTGTCAAAGGGGGCTGCTGTCAAAGGGGTGTGCTCTCGACACGCCGCAGGGCTTCTTTTATATGCACCGGGTCCAACCCAAATGTCCAACCAGAAGCGCCGCTGGTCGTGAGGTTGGAATCCTCCAATGGGGTCACCGCTGGGCAGCGTCATTCTTTCTCATCGAATCTGGAGAGGCTGCACCCAAGGACGAGTGACGTCGCCAGGCATTGCGTCACCCCCCCCCCCCAGACAGGAAGACGCCGGTTGTTTACTCGACGGCTCGCTTGCTGAGGTGACTCACTGCACGTGGGCGACAGAAAGGTGCCGTCGCGTGTTGACGCCGTTGAGCTGTTCATCGCGTCAGGCAAGCTCGCGTGCTGGCCTTGACACAGATTGCCTTTTTCAGAGGCACGGACGTTCCCTATGGACTCGCAGGCATAACAAGGGCCAGCCGTTCGGCCAGAGCTGAGCTGTCGTCGGAGATTGCGGGGGCACAAGCGTTCAGCACCGAATCCAGAGAGACAAATAAGGTATAATCAAAAGAACATGTGTTTATTGGTACTTGGCGAATGCGTGCCGATAGCTAAACCACTATGTGGAGTGGCACTACGTATAGGGTCACCAAACAGTGATCTATAGAAGCCGGAGACTTGAAAGCTGTAAAAGATCTTCGCCGATCAAGATGAGTATTTGTGCCTTGATCTGCAATTAAGTTTGCCAGTACCACGGCTGCTGGATAAAAAAATATGGTCGATATTTTTTTAATCTAGCGGCCGTGTCAGTACCTCGAGGCTTAAGGAACGTCCGGTTTATGAATATTCACGTACTTTATTTTGGTTTGACTTAAAATAGTTTTCCAAGGAACACTAGTAACACAAAAACACAGTTACAGCAGTACCGACCCGAGAAAATTGTCAGGCGGGCGAGGATAACCCTCCATTTCCCTTTCCGAAAGTCGATGTTTCATTGTGCTCCTAGTAAGATTTGGCGGTGCCTATAGGTGAGACCAAGCCTGAAAGAGATGCAGAGCTGGGCAGCTTTCGTGTTTTTTTCTCTTTCTCTCTTTCCTGGATTTTTCTCTTTTTCTCTCTCCTCATTTATAATGCTTGTTCCAATGTTATTCCTTTATTTCTCTGTATTTCTCGCTTGCCTCCACTTTCTTTTTTCCTACTTTTATGCGTGGCTTTGGCTGCGTTAATCCAAGCGTCGACAGCATACGATAGCCCGGAAATATAACGTAATCCACATTTAATGTCATCATCAAGGCATTCGAAGCACAGGAGGCAAACTAATTTCATCTAAGGAAGAGGATATACCTCCTCTTACACTTGCCGTTTCAGTTAAAGTTACGTCTCTTTCTCTCTCTCTTTCTTTCTAACGTTATTATTTCCGCACACTGTGGCCGGGCTGAGCTAAGGTATTGAAATAATGGTAAATAAAATAAATTAAGCCAGCTTCGCGTTGGGGGGCCAAGCTTGTGAAAGGTGCGGCGCTGGGCGAACGGCTTGCTTATTTTCATCTTGGTAGGAAGCACAGCCACTATAACACAGAAGACACAACACAAGCGCTTAACTTCAACTAAACGTTTATTGCAAACGCCAGAGTTTATAAAGGGGGTGAAAGAGAAAATAATAATAATAAATGTCAGACCAACAAAAAGCACACGTGCCAGTCCCGTACATTACTTATCCGTTATTATCTATCACCCCATCCAAAAAAAACAAAGTTCTTTCCGCATGAGTGAGATAGAGGATGCACCAACACACTCAAAATCATCACGTGTCATTTCCGCAGCTTCTACTATCAAACGGGTTAATAAACCTCTGTCCCGATATAACACGTAAGTGTTATCGAAATTGCGTTCGAAATTGCTCTATTGCGTTCCACGCCGGACAAATCGGCGCATAAGTTTTGGTAGCGAAGCAAAAGATGAAGAAGAGGACAAAAAAGCCACAGTTTTGCCAAAAGGACGAAGCAATGAATGCGATAGCAACATATTCCAATGCTTTACGAAGCAAGGCTAGCATTTTTAGGAGAAATAATAATTGTAGTAAACATTCGCTTGCTAAGTAAGTTTCCTGCGGTGCGGCCACAGTAGATCACCACAACAATTAGGGCTCGTGCTTAGTGACGGCACTGATATACGAAGTGAGGCTGACAGTCAACTCATTTAGATCCGATCTCACGTAACTCTACAAAACGCTAATGTAAGAGAACACGGCCGCAGGTAGACTTTTGGCACCGTTATTTCGTGTTGAGAACCCAGCCCGTAGAAGCTCCCGCACGCTGGGAGGGCCCAAGGCGCGCGCTGATTGTTGCTGCGATAGCGTGGCAGCAATGAAACCCCCCTCCCCCCTCTTGTTCGTTGGCGAAATAAGCGCGCGCAGACGAACCCGGCCGGAAAGGCGATGTATGCATCCGCAGAAAGAGGAGGCTAGCGTATGCTGCCCCGTGTACATATACATACGTATAAATATACGTGAATGACGGCAACAGCGATGGCAAAAACCAGCCGAAACTGTTCATATAATTGCCATTGCATTAAAAGAGTGCATGCGCTCCGCTGTTAAAACATCCAGCGAGCATTTCTTGTTTGAAAGTGGCGCCAAGCCGGCCCGCCCCGTCTTGGCGGTGCCGCCGAAGCTCGTCCGACGGGCCACCAACCCCTCCGCCCACACAGTGGGATCGAACTACTTCCGTTCCCCCGCCGTTGCTTTGCATTTTGCTGTGGCCGAGTTTCGGTCTGCCCGTGGCTGGGCACGATTTGGGAAGTCCCGTTATTGCTAATGCATCGGAAATCGGCGTGATGGCAGCATGTTGAGTGCCGGTGACCGTGGCCACATGACTGGCGCCTCGTGAAACCCGGCCGACGCAGCCCCCCGGCTCGCCCATAGCTGCAGGTACTGCCCGGAGCTCACCGTCGTTCTCTTCAACTTGCTTAGGCTTAATATATTCAAAAATACACGCTACACGACACTTCGCTATCACACTGGTGCACAAGCGAGGCCTCAAATACGTAAATACGTTTGAGGCATTCCTAATCTGCCCGGTCCGCGAGTGTTTCCGTGCGGGCGCAAACGTCGTACGCGGTGCACTTGAAAGCGATTCAGTGTGCGTGGGCGCGCGCTTGGGTACGCTCGTACCGGTGCCCCTGAATGTCTGTAAGAGCATGTCGTGCATCGCAGATTTCGAGCGATAAGATATTTCCTCATGTAAAGTGAAAAGGCGTTGCATAACTGCGAGCAACGTCCGAGTTGCCGCCGCGCTCCAACGGGCATTGCACCATACCGCACGCCCGAATGAAGACAGCTTATCACATATGTTTTCTTTTTACTTTTTGTAGCTGCCGCATGTTGTGCTAGTCACTAAAGTTGGACTTGATAGCGGTATCGTTCGTGGATGCCTCCGCTTCCTGTAGTCAGCTCTAGTTTTGCACGTGTTCGCTGGTGTTGAACAGATGGTACAAGCGATCGAAGCACCTTTCATTGCACCTGTCCGACATCTCTATCTCATTCTTACTACTCATTTCTTTTGTTAACGCATACCGTAAGGCCTATAGCGCGATTGTATAACAGCTACAAAACTCCCCAGGAAAAAAAAAACAGAATAGCCTGTTTGTTGGCGTAATAGACATAATGGTGTTGTTGACTAGAAACACTGGCCTTGTTTGACTTGGTGGCGCCCTTATCTCGCATTCGCATATCGTTGGCGTATATATTACTTGCCTTCCCTTTTTTTGTTGTCAATTCAGAGTGCACTGTCTTCTCTTTTTCACGCTCTCCTTCTTGTTTTCCTTTTATCAGTCGTTCATGTCTATTAGTTGCATGCAAGGCAGTCACAGAACTTAGGAAGCCATGCATATGCATCAAGATAATCAGAAATGAAATAAAACACCGTTGCTATTTTACATTCTTTTTTTACCAGGACAACACGCAGTGACCTTAACGAACTCATTTATGCTCATTGGTTGAGCTTACACAGTAGTAAACATTGAGAGGATTTGTTCTTGATTTTCAAAAAACTTGATTAAACACAAGGTTAAGTGTATTACTATGCAAGTTAGGGATTCAAATCTCTTGACCTTCTGATTTTACGTTATTTATTTTTAACACAAGCTGTTGAAGGACACACATACCATGTGCTCTCGAACAAGATAGCGGCTGCATTCTTGTATGAAAAAGGTCTGTGAAAACTACTTGCACTCATATGCAAGCAACAGAAAAAAAAAAAAAAAGTGATGCAGGCACATCTAAAGCTTTTAAATGGCTAAACCTTATCGTTTCTCCTGATGTTTTGTTTGTTTACCTAGTAGAACACTTTAAGGAGGTGAGAAGGGTTGCTCCTCAGGCGAGTTGGTGTTCACGAAAAGAGAGTGCAAAGTTGATATCTTCTCGTCTCTTAGTTTGTGTTGTCGTCTTTCTTTCTTACTTTTATGTTTTGTGCTGATTAATGCTGCAAGGAGGGATGACCTAATAGTGTAAATTTCAAATGAGACTAAATACAGGTACTTGATCAAGTTGCCTCTGAGTACTGGCCTAAATGTCACAATAATTTTTTTTTCAGTTTGTATTTATCCCATGCGTTGATAATGATTGATAGTAAGGAGGACAAAAGGAATGCACTGTTAGGTCTAATGCCTGGCCCTTCAAAACGGATGTGGGCTTTAGAGTCACTATTTATTGGCCTGTTAGAAACTGGCCTAGTCTAGAACCCTTAATGATTGACTATTGCTTAAAGAAAAGCATAAGTTAACCTGAAATTAGATTTGCAAATATTAGTATCAGGTTCACTAGTGGATTTTTATATTTATTATTATTTTTTTCTAATTTTATTTTTTCCTCTCTCCTGGAAGCTTTTAGTCCCATTCCCAATCCAAGGGGTCAGCAACAAGCCACATGTGACCCAGCCCGGATGAAAGTATTTTGCAGCCCCCAGCGCGACGTAAAATGCCACTTCCTTTGCCACTTCCTATCTTCAGGCCGACATGGCAGTTTTGACCTAAAAATTAAATTCTCGTTTGTAACATATGCTTCATTGCAACCTTCTTACATGCTTGCTGAACATAAACATGATTTTTAATCCAGTTTTATTAATTAGTGTCGATTCGCCAAATTTTCACTCATTGCCTGCACAGTCCGCACTCCCCCCAAATTGTCAGTGCGGCCCCTCGCTGTGTCGCCTTTATGAAACTTAGCCTTCTACCTCGAAAGGTTGCTAACTCCTGTTATACAGAGTAGTGTGTTAGCAGTTATGTACATGTCGAGGAAATCGTTTTTTTTTTCCCTTAAAGAGAGTGTTAAGCCTGAGTTTATTCACACCCTTTGATGATCCCCTCTATCCTTTGCCCAGGATGAGACGTTAGTTGTTCCAGCAGAGATGGGAGGAGGCATGGCAGCGAGCCGCTGCTGGCCGGGGCTACGAGGCAATTGACCACGAAGCCAGGGCCTCAGTGGTGGCCATGCGCAGGCACCGCCAGGCAGCCCTGCTGTCCCTGGTGGTGGCTGTTCTGGGCATACCTGTACTGTTGCTTCTCTATCTCGATGGGAAGAGCCAAGGTAACTCTTCATTCAAATCAAATCGTGCATTTGTTTCCTGTTTCTGCTACATAATAATTAATAAGGTTGAACATGTTTATAACGTCGAACATTAATAATGCTGAACAGCTTGACTATGTCGTTGTTCCCCTACTGGACGGCCGTGGACAAGGTACAAGACTTGGTGGAAGTACGAAAGAAGGAAAATCATTCGAGGGGCTCATTTCTTTGTTAGGCACAACCAACAAAACCAACACACAAATAAGCAAAGAAAAGCGTAGGGCACATTATTTGTAGTACTCTATTAAGCTGTATTGTAATGATTTTGTATTGTAATGTAATATTGCTAGTGGCAAGTTATATATTAATACACTTTTCTTTCTTCAAATTTACATTACATTGACTTCTAATGACATCTTCTATACTTTCCTTGGCATCATTCTGTTGTCCTCATTAATATTGCATCCATCAAAGAAAGCAAGTAATGCGTGCAGAGAATACTCAACATAATGAACAATATGAGCAAAGTAGATATAAAAAAAAGATTTTTTTTTGTAATGGATGAAGGCACAGCAAGGTGGGAGCAAAACATTTGGAAGCCACCCTTTAAAATACTTTGGAAAAACATCAAAAGTTCACCGTGATTTTAGGAAGGATATTGTGATGTGACCATAGGGATAACAGAGGGATCAATGCTGCTTTTTAAGGGGGCCTTGCAACACTTTTCTGACTTATAATGGAACGCTCTCACTCCTAGAACATGACACTTCACAAATAACGTGCCACAACAATTTTTGGTTCATCTAGCTGAGTTAGAGTTTTTTCACATGCTTCAAGTGCTTTCTCTCTCATTTCGTACCGGTGAGCTTGCTGAAAGCTGTGCTTGAAGGGGCAAGGAGAAGGGAAAAAAAATGCATCCTCCTTTTGTGTGTGTGCTTCATGGCCTTGAGCACTTTCTTTTCATTTTTTTTATTTGAACACGCTGCTTACTTTCAGTGTGATTAATGATTAACTTGATTAAATCAAAAGCTGTGTTTGTCGCACTAGTTCAAAGAGCCGTCTGTCGTGTTCTGGATATTTACCTAAAACCCCCCCCAAAAATTGAGGTTGTCAAAAAGGTTTCATCTTATGAAGTAATTTTTAATTAAAATCTTAACTGGGACCAGCATGTTAATAAAGTAACTATAAATATACCGAGCACATGCGGTATACTCTGCAAATTTTAATGAATTCTTCCAGTGAAAATCAAACCTTTACCCTATAATGCAGTACATTTTCATCTCGCATAAACTATTGTAGTTAGTTTAGTTTGGAAAGGTACAGCAAAAGAAAATAGAAACACAATCATTTTGTTTTAAAAAAAAAGCGATTCGTCATATAGCAAGTGTATGACACAACATACATACAAGTGACTTACTCAGAGAACGTAACATTTTACCGATTGATCAAATACGTAGTTTTAACCTCATTCTGAAATAAAGGCAAAGCTCACTATCAGACAATGCATGTTTTCTAAAACTGTACAACCTTAGGAAGACTACAGAATTTCTGTTAACATTATGCAAACACCATCCTGGTTTGTGATTTATTCGTGCACTAATCGTCGTTCAAGAAGACTTGAACTCTCTATTCCTGCTTGTTTTAATATGTTTAAAAATAAAAGAAATTGCTATCTTCAGTAGGTCTATAAATGAACTTAGGAAGCTTCTGATTTCAGAATGGTAATGTGTAGTTTAGTCCTTCGACTTATCTGGCTAGAGTACTGTAAAATTTTGTACAATACTTTTTATGTAGGGTGCCATCCTATGTCAATGCTTTTTATTTGTATTCTTTAGAACTTTTTTTAGAAGTGAAGCATGAACCATTACACCTGTCAGTGTTTTTGTTATACCAATCCGAACTTTATGTTTTTCAAATTTATTGTGGCATTCTTTATATTATTATTTTTTCTTGTTGTAGTTGGTAGTCACTTAGCGACATGTACATTGTTTCATGATGGACTGTATGCTGTTTTTTGTATTGTTCTTTTTCTTTTTGTTTCTATTCTCTATTCATCTTAATGTAAACATGAAACTCTGATATAATGCACAGCTTTCTTTTTCGTTTTTCTGAAGTTTTACAAGCACATCTATGTCCAGATGTCTTCATATCTGTGCTCTGTGAATTATTGATTTCAAAGAAGAAAGGGTAGGAGCCTCGTCAAGCTGCTAATATAGCAACCTCTTGCCCTTATTCTTGCATTTTGTTCCTGCAAGTTTTGTAAGGAAAATTCTGAATAAAATTGAATTAAGTTGTGATTGTGAGCGCGGACATGTAGCAGCGTCTTGTGGAAGCCACTGTAACTATGGAGGTCACGATGCTGAAATCAGCCAATGGTCGTGGACTTTAGTATAGGGTGTGGTGGTCACGGTCAAAACCATTAAATGGTTACAGAGAGGTGAGGTGATTATGTTGGGGCCATATTGGCCTTCATTTCTCACAGTACTGGGTGGAACCCCCCTACTTCGAGATATTTAGGTAGGCGCCGACGAATTTTTCGAACTCTGAAAGTTCAAACTTTTTGGATATTTAAGACATCATAAATGCACTGTCAAGTAATAATGCATTTTCACGACCGATTTTTCAGACAAATTTATGTGCGGAAGTTTGATCTTCCAGACCGAATTGCTTGTTTTGAGCTATGTCGCTCGATCTTCAAAGTTGTCATGTTGGATTTTCAATTGTCTTAATTAGGTTGTCTTTTAGTGGCTGGTTGTGTTGCCTCCAAAGTTGAAAGCATGGACAATCTTCGTTTTAGAGGCCGTGTTTAATCTTCCTTGGCTGGCAAGAGTGCCCAGGGGATGCAGCTTTTCTTTCTCAGTCTGCCTTATTGTCATCATTAGTGTACACCTGTAATTAATGATTTCATTTGTTTTTTCGATTGTCATTGTGGGCGTTATTGTGTTTGTGGTGTGTCAAGCGTTTTTGAGCCGTCGTGCACGTACTCTGCTGTTGCAGTTGCTCTGTAGCGCTCAGCTGTTACGGTGTTCGGCTACTTACCTGGAACACATGGCTTCGATGCGGCGGTAGCATTTTGATGGAGGCGAAAGGCTGGAGGCTTAAGTACTTTGCGATGTCAGTACAGGTTAAAGTACCTCAAGTTGTGTCGTTAAATCCCATCAAACAGACAAGGCATAACATGCATCTTTTTGCAACTGGCATCAAGTTTTGCTTTTTTTGTGCCATGGAGCCATCAACTGGGCCACTCACAACAGTTGGCGTCAGCGATTTTCAATGCCTTGAAGATGTTACTGTAGCCCAAATGCCACCAAATCTGCTCGTCCCAAGCACAGCATGAAACAGGGCATTATCGGGGATTTTTTAGGCTGCTTTAATCCAAATGAACTTCAATTTTTTTGTCTAGACCACTTTTTTCAGACTGTTCGATATTTCCGACTACTTCATGGTCCCTCCCATGTCGGGAAAATCGGTCAGGGACTGTATATGGCATCATTTGTTGAGAGAAGAGAGAGCGATTTCTAGCTGACTTTGAGAATTGATTGTAAATTCCAGGTTGTGTGCTGCACTTAATGCCTTGCTCACGTGTTTTGAGAAGCCGAACTACCTGTCAGCAGCATTTTCTGACGACCATGCTCAAAAAGCGTTGCAGGGCTTTTTTAAGGGGCCCCTAAACCACCTATGATAGTTTAACATCTCAAGTAAGTGCATACATTGAGTGCAGAATGCCGTCACAATCAACAATGCCAAGCGCAGCAACGCTGCGAGTCACAGGCGTCCCACAAATCCTAAAAAGCAATTCCTTCTCCTCTGTGCATTTCGGCATTCCTCATCCCATCGGCATTTGCCCTGGCGTCAACATGTCGTCTGCTTGTCACCTGCAGCACCTGTTGGACAGCGCAAATGTACGCGCGCTCCGCACTTTTTCTCCTTGCACTGTGATGTTTGCCAGGAGGGAAGATAAGCCAAAAAACAGAGCATAGCGAAGAAAAAAAAAGCGAACAGATTGGGGCACCTTTGTATTATCAGATACATGTAACTTCACTGCTACAACACTGTTTCGAAAAATTATCACAGCTATGCGTGCATTGTGGACTGCCATACCACAACTAAATTTCAACCTCTACTTGCTTTAGGGACCCGTCAAATCGATTCATTTAGAAGTGTGGGAAGGGTGAAGATTTGCCATTTCAGACTTTTAGATTCCTAAACAGGTGTACCAAGCGTAATAATACAACGCATTCAGTATGAGCATACTGGTGCATTTTGTACGTTCTTCTGAGTTGTACAATAATGTCTGTTTCGCCATCGTTCCGATTTAAAGGAAGAGAGCACCACTGTTCTTGTTTCGTACGTTACCTTTTCTTTATCATACATTTCTGAAAAAGATACAGGTTAAGTGAGACATGAAATTTCAGAAGTGAGAGCAATTTTTGTTTCTACAAGCATGTGTGACCGATAGCCCGCTCATGAAGTGGCCACCACTGCCTCTGACCATTTTTATGAGACCGACAGTCTGCTGACTACACTGGCAGGAAGGGCAGAAGACGCACGAACAGTGCAATGTTTGAAACAATGACAATTTAGTCCCCGCTTTGAGGTCTTTGAGCTTTGAGAGCTTCAAGGCTTTGAGGCATTGTTCATCGTGATGGCATTCTGCGCTCAATGCATGCGCTTACTCGACAATGTAGTCCCCACTTTGAGGTCGATAACATAGCACAGTCAGTGCAACTGTCCGACCTGAGTGAGCATATTGAAATGTGTTTATTTAGGCTTTTAACTCATACCGAGTGCAGAAATACTATAACTAATAAGTCAGTTATTTGGTACATACCTACTTACTCATTCTTCTGTGGGACCATGAGGCTATAAATTCAACCTAAATGCATTGTTGAAGAACCTTGCTGAAATTTAGATACAAATAGGTTGGTGAGCACGATATAAACATGGTGTTAACCCCACTCTGAAAAACACTGGACAATTGAAAGGGGATGTTTGGATTTTTTGTTTTCTTCATACCTTCATGCTGAGTATAAGGATAAGGAATGTTGGCTACTGAATTGACCATGGCCTGCATTTGAATGTATTGATGCATTACATTAGCATGTCATTGTGCCATCTTTTGTATCTCAAAATAGCCAAAGTTTAAGTGAAGTGTGTTCAGTCTGGTCTTTTTCTCTTCATTCAGTGGTGTGAAGTTTTATGATTTGTATGGAATTGTTGGTTATTGCTTCTTTTCTTGTAGAATATGCCTCTAATTTTTGCATGTGGTACTTTCGCTGCAGCACCCGAGGACAATCTACTTGGATTCACAAAAAGAGAGGCAGTGCTTGCCGACCGAGTCCGAGAGGTTGAACAACAGAATCAAATGTTGCGAAGACAACTCAGGTTTGTGAAGTTCTTTTTTAAGCACAATGCATGATGCATCATGCAACTAAAACAAGGTGTAGAAAGTGCAAGAATGAGGGAAAAAGTGGTTCAATTTCAATTCAAGCAAGGCTTTAATATTTTTTAAGCAGGGAAAAGCTGTTAAACACATCAACAAAAAACACAAAATCTTCAGGCATCTTTCCGGTCATCTTTCTGGTGGTGTTGACAGCGTCCTTTCCTTAAGTAGTTTCTACACAATGTTACCACGACACATGAGTCTGGTACCTTGTGTGTACCAACTCAAAACACTGATTTCTTGAAAGTCCTTCAGGAAACCTTGTCTAAAATATGTTTCCTTGACAATGTTGTGTAGAAATCTTTGCATCTTGCTGTGTTACATCCTTTTATTGTCCTAAACTCTTGAGTGAACATTTCTCATGTGCAGACTTTTTTACATTTACCACACAAGTCTGTCACTTCCACTGTACTGAACCATTGGAAATGCTCATTGAGCAAGTTTATCAGCCGTATGTTGTACCAACTTGGCGAGCCTTCTAGCTTCATTTCACGGACATGCTATGTAATCACACACACAAGTGAAACATGAAAAGTTGAGCACAGTTGAGATCGGCTTGAGCTTTTCAACCTGGTAGGTACCTCAGTGAAATAGCATGCAAGGTTCTTTGGGACGTAAAACATTGCAAATGTGTCACTTTCGAAATACAAAAATTGTATATAGCCGCATATGTATTAGAATACGAGCAGACTGAATTGAATATTTTATTGTCACTAATTGAAGGTGTCGGACAGATGTGTACTATTCCTGATCCATCAATGTATATTGCCTTTCTTTATGCTTCTTGCTCCCAGTTTTCAGCCGTACCTGTGAATCGCCATAATGAATCCAAGTTTGTGTGGAAAAAGAAAGACGAAACATGCATCAGAAGATCAGGCAGGTTCACTATACCTAGGTTGCATAGTACAGGGCTTCCTAACCAGGTACGTCTTAATTCCGGATAACCAGTGGATGCTACTATGCCTACTACTGCTGCCGCTAGAGGAACATTTCAGATTTTTGGAAAGCCCCTTAGCACTCGCTTGGCGTTTGGTTGCTTCAAGGCTTTTTTATAGGAGTGAAGAATTCTCAAGATCTCTTGTCAATCTCGTTAAAAATTAGTGGCTGATTAGTAATATCAGTAAGTGGATCGTTAAATAGCACATCACATTTATTATGGAAACTTGGTAATAAATACTACTATGCAATAGTGTTCATGAGACTCATCTCCTTTCTGTTGAAACTAGGAAGAATCTATTTTCGAAGAGGGCCTTTTGCTAGTAAAAGAGAAGGAAATCATTGCCAGGAACTGCCTCACTTGTCCTCTCTCTCTCGATGCAGCCAGCAATCACATACATTGCACGAGATGACTTACCCATTTCGATCAGCCGTCTCTTGGTGCATTCATAAAATTTGTCTTCCCAGCATGTTATTGCCCTTTACATCTGCGCAATGTGCCACAAATTGATGTGTCATTGTTATGTAAGTGCATTTACTATTAAATATTAAGGGAGAAGAAATAGTTTGACACAAAGAGCTTTTACTTACCGTAATTACTCGAATATAACGCGCACCTTTTTTCCGGTTAAGCGAGTTCATAAATTGCATGCGTGTTAGAATCGAGTACGAAAAAAAAAACTGAATACGGTCATTCTATTGCCATCGGCATATCCAAAATGGCTGCCCCCTACGTGCTTCGGCATGGCGCGTCGGCCATTTCTGCCTATGTGTTTCCCATGTGCGGCACTTCGTACGTATGCTGAGGAGTTCGTCATCTTGTAGTGCATTAGCGTCGACGGCATGGAAGGACCGACTCCAAAAACTCGAGTGCACCACGATGCCGCTATTAAAAGAAAAGTCATCGCGTGTGTAGAAACGGACGGAAATGGGCCGCATCGCGGTCATTCGGAGTTCCCGAAACGTGCGTGCGGGACTGGCGGAAACAAAAGCAAAAGATTGTCGACAGCAAAGCTTACCGCAAAGGCTTCAGTGGACCACAGCAGGGTCGTTTTCCGCAAATTGAAGAGCTGCTCGGCGAGTATGTGCTTGAGCAGCGAGCGGCACAGCGGCCCGTGACGACAGAACTGCTCCAAGTGCGGGCTATGCAGTTAGCCTTAAAATAGAAAAAGGGCTAATGCGGAGCCAGTTTAAAGCGAGCAGGTGCTGGCTAACTAACTTTATGAAGAGGAAAAGCTTTTTCTCGGAAGGCGAACGGGCATATGCGAAAAGTTTCGAGAGGAGTACGATGAAAAGCTTCACAGTTTTCAGAGGTTCATCCTAAACTTGCGGCACAACAATAGCTATCTGCTTGGGCAAATCGGGAATGCCGATCAGACGCTTCTTTACTTGGACATGCCTAGCACCACATCCGTCGAGAAGAAGGGGGCGAAGCAAGTTCGCGTGCCGACATCGGTCCACGGTAAAACTGCAGTGACGGCAATGCTCTGTTACACGTCAGATGGGCACAAGCTTCCCCCATACCACATATTTAAATGGAAGACGCTCCCGAAAGGAGTCGTTTTTTCGAGTGGTGTAATCGTGCGGGCCAACGAGAAAAATGGGTGCGCGTTGCAATCGATGTCTTACTTTTTTTTTTTTTTCGTCGTCGAAACCGGGTGCGCGTTACAATCGAGGGCGCGGTAGAATCGAGTAAATACGGTAAGTTGGGATGATGAAAACTTGAATGATCATGTGTTTACATGTGTACATATCAAATATGACGTACTCTTTTGCTTTCCATGTACAGTTCAGTAATCATGAGCTGTAATTTGTCTCCTGAGGTGCTCATCAATGCAATGTCATCTGTGATTCATAGATCTAATAGTACATGAAAATTGATCGGGTTGTGCATAGAGTAGTGGCAGAATAACATTATGAAAAATTCAATTTTTTCGCGAATCTCGATCTCAAGGACCCGCTTCTCTCTTAAAATGAAAGAAAGTCTTATGTGCCTCACCAAGCACACCAATTGACTCTCGTTGTGACCATGAGTAATAAAAAAATTCATCATCACGTCACAGTATGATGTCATCGTGCTTTCTCTATGAAGTTGACATCATTACATGGCATTGCTGCCTGTTCAAAGGCGGGCTGATAACAAAGGTAGTGCAGGAAGCTTGCGATGACTCACCTCTATGAACAGTGGAAAACCATGCTAGTTGAAGAAACCTTTTAGAAAGGGATGTAGAAAGATCAGCGTATTGACTGAGAAGAAATAAAATTCCCCCACCTCCATGAAAGGAATCGCAAGAAAATGCGAATGCATTTCTTGCGCCGAGAGAGGGTACCATTGCCGTCAGATATTTGCCTTCACCGACTTTTGTTATCGCCTTGAGAGGCGCCCAGTTAGCGTACGGTCGAGAGTGAGGAGCGAGCGGACAGGAAAGTGGGGCGCCAACATTCTCGGCGTTGGCATTTCACAGCGGCGTCTCGAGCTCGCATTTCTGGATGTTCTTGAGAGGCGTCCAGCCAGGGAACGGTGGAGAATGAAGCGCGAGCAGATGGGGGGGGGGGGGGGGGGGGAGGAGGAGAGAGAGCGAACAGCCAGAGAAGGAGCAGCGAAGCACTGTACCTACTCTCTCTACACTCTCTTGCACCACATGCTCTCTGGTTGTTAGGGGCGAGGATAGCTGAGACTCACTCTCCCATAGCTGTTGCTATGGGAGAGGGAGTGAGAGCAGGGCGCCCGGACAACGCCAGATGCCTGACATAGCCCGCTAAGAAATGCATTCGCATTTAGAAGAAAACTTTTGTCTTCGAGTTGTCTTAGGCCAGTACACAAGGGACTCTATGAGTACATCTCTCCCTGCTCAGCTTATATATGCACTCAGCCAGCTACAATTCTCCTTGCAGCTTATCACGGCAGCAGCTAATGCAGCTGATGCAGCGGGAGGCACGCAACGGCTCCAACATCAGCCTTCTGCCCTGTCCCACCCGAGGGGGCAACGAACTGCCCGAGGTGCCCAAGTGCGAGGTACTTCAGGTTGCCATCGTGTGTGCGGGTTACAATGCTTCTCGCTCGGTCATCACGCTGGTCAAGAGCATCCTCTTCTACCGCAAGAACCCTCTCCACTTCCACTTCATTTCTGATGCCGTGGCGCACCTGGTGCTGCAGACCCTGTTTCGAAGTTGGAACATGCCTGCAGGTTTGTCTTGGCATTGGTTGCTGCATTTCCAGTTGATATTATTGTTGTGCTAAGCTGTACTCATAGATTACATTGTTGCAATAACAAAAGAGCCACTTTTACAACAATGGTGAACTCGATAGCGGTGGGTCATGACAACATCCTCCTGTGTCAATGGAAACTATTTTTGTTAGTTATGGAGATAAAGTGATGAAATTTGGCATGCAGATGTCATTTGTTGTGCTGATATTAAATTGAAATTGGTTTTGAGCTATCTAATGTAGTTTTCGAGCTGCAACACTTGATAGACTCTCATCATCATCCCAAATATAATTAATTAAATAATTAATTATGCAAAAATTATCAAACTTTTTGCATAAGGATGATTACAAGACTCCATTCTGCTATTGGTTTATTTTTAGTAAGCATACAAAAGATTTTTTTTAATCTCCTGGGCATATTGTCTAACAACTTTTACAAAAAGCCAATTTAAAATATCTATGTTGTGCACACAAATATAGGCAGCTTTATGGCACTCTCCAATGTCTCAGGATCTAAGTTCAGAAAACAAAATGGCTATATTTTCACTTGCTGCAAAATAGCACAGGGATGGCTGAAAGCAACTGCTCAAAACGTGAAAGCTGAGAAATAGAGCTCAAAGAAAGCTCTTAACTAGAAGCTAGGAAAACGGAACTCGGAAGGCAGCTGGCTTTATTTTTCATTGGAGAAATGCAGCTTTTCGACTATCTTGAGCTCCGATTTGTCCTCTTTACGATTATGCCAATATGGTGGCACTGTGTTAAAAAGAAGCTGCAGATTTACATTGCCTAATGCCCAATTTTCTTATAGCTTTTGTCGACAGCCCACCAGTAAAATGCTTTTTTCTCAACGTCTGCTACTTCTTTGGTCTAATATTTCACAATGATGTAAAACATGGTCTCAGGAATACCGAAAAAAATAAATAAATTGAAAAATTGAACGCTCTGACCAAATTCACCATTCTCATTGCCACGTCTTCCCTTAATCAGTTGTGTACAATCTTAGCTGTTTTTATAACGTGTAAACTGTTATTATAACAAGGTCACATTCTGCATACTCAGTCATTCATATTCGTTATACTGTACCTGTACGTACAAATTTTCTATGCAGTGGAAGTGAGCTTCTATTTAGCCGACAATCTTCAAGGAGAAGTGTCATGGATTCCAAACAAGCATTACTCTGGTGTCTATGGACTTATGAAGCTAGTACTGCCAAAGGCATTGCCTGATACCCTTGACAAGGCAAGTATTGTTTGCATATAATATATAATACGTATGTAGTATTGTTTACAGTTGTGTTTGCAACAACTGTACTTACTTAGAATCTGACAAAGAAACCACGTGAAATAAGGCAAAATAGATGTGCTTGTATAATTTTATCTGTATGCCAGCTTTTTTTTAGCACAGCAAGATCAACAATATTCTTCATTTCTTAAAAAAACTTTTTTCTAATATTTTTCTTTTTTTTCCCACGCAGGTGATAGTACTGGACACAGACATCACTTTTGCGTCAGACATTGCGGAGCTGTGGAGAATATTTCACAAGTATACCTCAAAGCAGGTGAGCAAATGCTGGTCCCTTTGTGCAGGTGAAACTAGTTGTCCTTATTCATAAACCGTAGACGAGGGCATTAAATCAACTTATTCAATAGGCTGATTGAATTGAATAGATTGAAAATAATATTGTTGCAGCACAATTCAATTCACTTTCTCTGAAGCTGCACTCTGTTGCTCAATAACAGTACTGTGCATGTTCCAATTTCATTTTAGGCAATTGGCCTCGTTGAGAACCAGAGCGACTGGTATCTAGGAAAGCTGTGGAAGAATCACCGACCTTGGCCTGCTCTCGTGAGTAGATGTCTCCATTCACTGAAATGCCTGTATTTATTAGTTAATCTTGTATTATGTGCATTCTGGGCTGGAGAGTGCATGCAACTGGGGATACTGTACCTATAGAGTAGGAGTAAGCACGCATAGAAATCAATATGCGTCACACCATGCTTTCATTTGTTTGCCGAAAATTCACCTACTTTACCTCCTTGGATATGCATCTAGGCTGTGTAAAGGAAGGCTTCTACTTAACGCAATTTGAATTCAGTGAGAAATTGTCCCGATGGCACCCCATTACAAGTGGGTGAAATAAAATGAGGGTATCTTCTTCATAACAATAATCACTTGTGCAAATAGTACCTTGTGGCAAAATTTTCGTTCATAGTGGCTCAGTAGCCTCTTCCTTGTTACAGTAGTTTCTAGCTGGAAGTTTCGCCATAAATATTTGAGTTTACTTTGATAGTTCTATTCATGATGTATAGTTTACTTTTATTTGGTGTGCACTCAGTGATGTCTTGATAGCTTGGTACAAGCTTCACCTTCAAAAATCATGCTCCATTCTTATTCTGCACTCCCATGCACTAATAGAGTTCAGAAGAGGCAGCAATATTGAAACAAGTTTGCCTCTGCCACGAAATTTCGCAAACATAATTGGCTAGCGTAAACTGAGGGTAACTGACCAGATTCTGAGACAAGGCAAACGCATGAGGGGGAGACAAAAAGTTAGATGGGCAGATTAAATTAACAAGTTTGCAGGTATAACGTGCTGCTGCTGATGATGATGAATAGGCTAGCAGTATCATCAAAAGTGTAGTGAAGAAACACAATCGACACTCACGTTTACTGTCCTCTCATGTTGTACAGCTGTGTATTTGCCCCTGTAATCTGATGTTGTCACCAAACACAGTTGATAGTAACAGAACAGCAAATTCATGTAGGAGACGTTTGAAGTTTAACAGCATCGATATCATTCATCAAGTGCCCATGGAAACAGCAACAGCATTGCTTGTGTACATCAAAAATGTGAGACCAGATCTGTGTGCTCAGCATGATGATGCTTGCTACTGTGATCCATGCAGGGCCGAGGTTTCAACACTGGTGTTATCCTGCTTCGACTGCAAAGGCTGCGTGAACGCAACTGGATGCAAATGTGGAAGCTTATAGCTGAGAAGGAACTTATTAGCATGTGGTTTACTTCATTGGCCGACCAGGTAATCACACTAAGTGGTTGAATAACAGTGCATTTTCATGAAGTTATGTAAAAAGAATGTGTGTTTATAAATATGCTATAAGATAGGTGCGTGCCGATTGTTCAGTGTAGAAACACATTGGTGAGCTAGTTGCGTACAGTTGAATGTTCTCTTAGCTTATAAAGGCAGCTAGTGCTCCCTAAGACTTTTAAGAACAGGTGTGTTTTAATAGTTCAGGAGCCTTTTTTGCACAAAACATTTTACCTTTATTATTAACGAGCCCTTTACTGCTCACCTTTCAAGGTGGATAACTCGCTCGTTTTGTTAAAACACTCGGAAGTTATACATTTCATCAGCAGCTGCGTTTTTGCTTCTTTAATCAAAAATAATTTTGTAAGATGTGCAGTTCAAGCTTATTATAATGCTGAAACCTTCTTGGGCATTCTTCTGCAAGTAATAATTGATACGCAACTCGAATTCTCACCTATATGCCTTCAGCTTCATGACATTTTTTTTTTAAGTGGATCTGCTTGTCCACATGTCTTAATACATTTTCAGGACATCTTTAATGCTGTACTGAAGCAGCACACAGAGCTTCTTTTTCGTCTGCCGTGCCAGTGGAATGTGCAGCTTAGTGACAATACTCTCAGCGAGGTGAGTTTTCAATTTCTCTTTTAATGAGGGTTACAATTTTGTAGCGATGCCTTCCATCTCATTCCACAGTGCTTTCATCATGCGCTGTTCATAGCTGCAGGATCCCACTTTTATAACATCAGCAAAAAGCGGGAATAAGAGCAGACTTGGAAAACTGCATAGCTGTGAAAAAATGGCCCAGATGCACACTTGACTGTCATTACCTGTAATGTCCTTTATGTCTACTGTTCACCAATCTTAGCAAGAAGAAGATATTCGATCCTACGAAATGATTGGTTCCGAAGTCACGCTGTCAAGTTGCTATAAAACACCAGGCCTGCGCGGAAGGCGCACCACAGTCACAGCGATAGCTAGAAGAGCGGCCTTTCAGGGCCTTTTCAAAACACTCATTCCGCGACTACTGCAAGTACACTTGCTTGATACCCACTACAGCATTAACATTAAAAATCTTGGGGTAGTAGGCCGTCATAGCTATGCTATTTTTCATCCTTCTTTTGGGAAGCGTGGTATCCGCTAAACACCTGCAAGGAATTTTGTGCCCATTGTTCATGCAGTGGCTGATGACGATGAGGAATTATGCCCGAAGTGGGTATGTGCCACAGGTAATAGGTGAACAAGAACAAGCTCTTGTAATGGGTTGGAGCATTGGACGACCCACTGGTTGTGCTATTCGCATTGTGCGACGACTGATTGTTCTTTTGCTGTTTTAAAACGCTTTATAAGTCATATTAACGCGATTGCTTTCCTGACATCAAGCCTGTCTCAGGCAAGTTTGCCAGCAAATCCAAAGCGCCAGCGTGGCTCAGTGGTAGAATACTGGGCTGGCACCCGGCAGACCTGGGTTCGAGCCCCACTGTGTCATTTCTTTCTAATTTCGTGCGATGTGGTTACGGACACCAGCCTCAAAACACTAACTCTGTAACCTCAGTATCCTGCAAAAAATTCACCCACTCACTTCCCCAAGTCTGTTAGTGATGCTACACTTGATATGCTGCAACTATGGGTTGATTGAAGACTATGCAGATGAGGAATTGGAGCCATATGCTTCTGTTTAACCACCTATCTTTATGGCTTTTCTGTTTTGGCATTAGGAATATGTACATCTTTCAATGTTTTGGCAATGCTTATGATGCATTACATAAGCTCAGTTGTAGTGTCGTGTAGCCTACTTACATATGAAAGTTGTGCAGTGTTCTTGCTTTACATCTAGCGTTCATTGAAATTGTGCACTCCTAAATAGTTTGCCAGTGTTAAGGGCAAAAACTTTGCAACAAAAGAACGATGCAGACACCTCTTTTTGTCAAAAAGTCATCGCAATTAACACTTTTTAATTATAGAGTATCAGTTAGCTCAATCAAATTCATTTTAAGTTTGATCTCACATGGTGTTTCACTTACTCTTCGTTATGCAGCTGTGCTACTCTGAGGTGCAGGAGCTAAAAATCATCCACTGGAACTCGCCCAAGAAGCTGAAAGTGAAGAACAAGCACGTTGAGTTCTTCCGCAACCTCTACCTTACCTTCCTCGAGTATGATGGCAACCTGCTGCGACGCGAGCTTATTGGTTGCAACGGCACGACATCATCATCGGCCGGTGTGCATGCCTCTCACGTGCAGGATGCTGTAAGTGACCTTCGCGTGGCTGCTTGCCCTTAGCTGCCCATAGTTTTCACTATTTTGTGATTGCTACATTTGTTCAGTGTGAAAGTAGAGTCATGATATTGTTCCTTGGTGTCGAATTCATGCAGATAGCATCACTATTTGACTACACTGCTTATATAAATTGTTTGATTTTATTCCATAATTTGTTGTACCAAGAATTACCTGTGTTTTGTTTAATCTCTTGTTTGTGATTCATGTGGGGTTTTCCTATATGTGTGTCTTCCTACAGTTGAATCTGTTGGATGAGGACGACCCCTGCTATGACTTTAGGAGAGCAAGGGTTGCCCAGCATCGCACGCATCTCTATTACATTGAATATGACTACGAGCCTGTAAGTACCTCCGTCTGTGCCCCATCTCTCGTATGTAGAAAACCTTAATGAGCCTTATGAGCTTATATGGCAGTTATAATTAGGTAGTATTACAATCGTGACTAGACCTGTATTTTTGTCTATCGAAGTCTGTGGGAAAGAACCACCATATTCATTTGAACCAAAGAAAATTTGTGAATTGTGAGTTATTTCCCATAAGTAAGTGATTGAAGAAAAAAAAAAACAGGTGGATACCTATGTATGTTCTGTGAAGCTTATGCTTATGTTTAAGCATTTGCACATTTGTGATAATATGATGGGTCCAGTGCTTCAGTGTGCCAGCTATGTGGTACTGCTCTTACATCAACAGTTTGGTTAAGTAGTAAGCAATATGTTCAGTGAAGTTATCAACCAGAGTGTAATAGCTGTTTTTACGAATCTCACTGAATCTAAGTACCCTGTGTCACTACTCGGCATAATTATTTGTTGTCACTCTTTCCACTGTTGCTAAAATGCATGTGTAAAATATTTTTGTATTGCAGTCACCAGAGGGAAATGATGTTACGCTGGTTGCCCAGTTATCTATGGACAGGCTTCAGATGGTGGAAGCTGTTTGCAAGCATTGGGAAGGTACATCTTTTTTTTAGATTAATTTTTTTAATTTTGGAAGTTCAAAACACCTAGGACACTTTTCTACTTTTGTAATCAGCAGCAAATAATAATTGAAGTGAAGTGCTACGCACCGTCCAGTGCAGTAGTGTTTCCAGCTGTGCCTTTTCTCTGACACCTCTAATTTGTAAAAGTTCAAACTACATTTGTTTTGCATGTGCTAAACATAATTTTCGTAAAGATTAAGTATGTTTTATGTGAGTTGTAGTAGCCTCAGAATATTGCTCATGCAAGCATTGTTTTATTAAGCAAGCAACTAAATTTACCAGCGACTTTGTTGGGATAACCTGTCGAGTGGCATATTGTGTTACCTGGGTTTAATTTAGCACAATGTTCTTAACAGCATTTCATACTCAAATATTCTTAATGTCGCCATTCAATAATGACATCATCTCTCTGTCAGTTTCAAACCACTGAAATTTACTTTTTTTTTCCTTTAGGGCCAATAAGCTTGGCATTGTACATGTCAGACTCTGAAGTCCAACAATTTCTGAGCTACACCCTGAGCTCAGAAATTTTGCAGAGTCGTAAGAATGTGGGCTACCACATTGTCTACAAAGATGGAGTAAGTACTGTTTCTCTTCCTTATGACAGCTACATTGACAACTACCTTATTATCACTGCAGAAACCTCTAGTGCCTACCCACTGGCTGTGAATCGATTTCTTTGTCATTTGATGGCTGGAGAAAGCACTTATATTTAGCACTGTCAGTACTAGTATGTTATGTCTTAAAAACTAGGCTTGTGTGAATATTCGAATGCTTCAACTATTAAAAAGAATACTATAGTATTCGAATTCGCTTCAATTTGAATTGAAATTATTGAAAATTTCGAAGTATTCGCAGTGTACAGATGATTTTATGTTAAACCGCATGTAACTTTTCGTATAGGTAGTTTCGCTGCATGGTAGGAGTGTTAAGCCGTGAAAGCATCTATTCAAAGGGAATAAGCTCTGCCGCGAAGCCCCATTTCAAATTTAAAGGGCCCTGCAACACTTTATGAGCAGGTCAGAAAACGCTGCCGATCGGTAGTCGAGGCTAACGAGAACACACGAGCCATGCATTAGTATAGTGCAGCACGCGGCCTGCAACTCGGCTAAAAAATGGCTCTTTTTTGGCAAATGACGCCGCAAGCTCAAAAATCACTCATCACAGCCACTGTATCAGCTATTGGCCGATTTGAGCATGGCGCGCTCAGTTGTTGCTGGATCCGCCACGGAAGGCCGTGACTTGTCCACGCATACGTGCACAATCGCACTTAAAAGCCGTATATTGGAAGGGGAAAAAAGTGCTCAAGGTCATGAAGTGTACATGATGTATTATCTTTCTCTATGCCATCCCCCTCTGCTTAGCTTCCAGTGCTTTCGTGAGGACGAGAGGAGGGAATGCAGTTGCAGCGTGCGAGAAATTTTCGCAACCCCGCTTGTACTGGATGGATTCTAAAACATTTAGCGGTGGTGAATTCGTGAGGCAACAAGCTTCTTTAGCGAATCCATTCCATGGCTACTTTAAAAAGTATTGCAGGGCCCCTTTAATGACCATATTACCCTCAAATTGATTCATCATTTTTTTAACGCTTAAAAGCTTGTTATGCCGGCTTATATCATAAGTATAATAAATTTTAAAATGTTGCATATTTTACACTTGCATTTGACCCAAAGTCAAATCCTGCTACTACTCAAAGTTTTTTTGACTTCCTCTGAACGAAAAATAAGAATGGCATTTGCATAAAGGCCTTATCTCAAGTTTTAAAAAACATTGTGCAGGTTAGTCAGCTCAAAATAAATATGCCCATTGTTCCTTATATGTCACATATACTATTTGAATTTGATTCGAAATTATTCGACCAATATCACTATTTGCTTCGAATTCGCTTCGAACCTAAAATTCACTATTCGTACAAGCCTATTAAAAACAGTTCAGTGATAGCAATAGAATTACCGTGAAATCTCGGTAGAACAAACCCCACATTAACAAACTTTTTTGATTAACGAACATTTAAAATCTCGTGCCGATTGCTTATAGTTTCAATATAAAAGTGTTTCACTACTACGTACGTAAAATACCTAACTTTTCAGAGTAACGAGCATTAATTTAGTTCCGCGTTAACAACGCCTCATACTACGAACTCATGTTCTGAAATCCATCGCGACTATCGGAGCTGTATGCAAGCAGATGACAAAGCGAACAGACGCCTTTCTTCTCGAAAGACACATGACGGTGCAGAGGGAAAAAAAAGATGAAAGGGCGACTTTCATTTTTTTCTCTTGAAATCCCGACGCTGCAGGTTTACAAGTTCAGGGGCGAGGGCAACACGGGAGGGCATGGTCAGCGAGGCAGAGCGGGAGCTGCAAAAAGCATGGGCGCGGAAAACTTGAGACAGCGAGGGAGCAGAAAATGAAACGCGAGGAATTTTCTTTTTTAGCGCTTTTTTTTCTTCAGAAGAGGCGATGACAGCCGCAACGCTTAGGGTTTTTCTTTCTTTGTCACTTTTACATGTGCTCAAGGAGGCCTTGTTTGTCAGTTGTGTACATCCCTTTTTGGTGATTACTTATCGCGTAAGCAAAGCAAGTTGCCGTTCCCACTGCGGTGCTACTACAAATGAGTTCATCTCTGCTTGCGACGAAGAAGCGGAAGCAGTTTTCGCCAAACGAGAAAGTAGATATTCTTCGGCAACTGGAAGGCAAAAATCAGGCTGTTGTGAACGAAGAACTGAATTGCACCACAGGAATGTGGATGAGCTAAAGGCCTTCATGCTGCACAGTTTGTGCTGCACGCGTCAGCAACAATAAAAAAGTAATAACAATGTGTCACTCCTATTAGTTAACAATTTGGTGAAGAGTGCTGTGCCCTTCAAACACCTTCGGTCCGCATTTGACGCCCTTGGAGCTTCGATCCTGTACCGTGCCTTCTACCATGCACCAAGACGCCGCTCAGCAAACGCTTCCTCCTGCGCCGATGCCATGTCCCGGTGTCCTCCGCATCCGCGACCCTCCTGTCTTCACCGGCGCGGATGGCACCGACGTCGAGGACTGGCTCGCCGTGTACGAACACGTGAGCGTCCCCAATCATTGGGACAAGGCAGGTAAACTCGGCAACCTGGTTTTCTACCTCGCCGGTGTGGCCGGCATGTGGCACAACAACCACGCATCCGATTTCCCAACTTGGTCCGCTTTTAAAACCGCCGTCGTCGACGCATTCGGCCGTCCTGCCGTTCGTAAGCTGCAAGCCGAACAGCGTTTACGTGAACGAGCACAGCAGATCGATGAGTCCTTCACAAGTTACATCAAGGACATCCTTGACTTGTGCAAGAAAGTGGACGCGAACATGTCAGAGGCTGACAAAATCACGCATGTTCTAAAAGGCATCGCCGACGATGCCTTCACCATGCTCCTGGCCAAGAACCCTCGCACTGTAGGAGAGGTCACTACACTATGCCAAAGTTACGAGGAGCTGCGGCGGCAACGCTTGATGACCCGTCGACCGCCATGACGCGACACTGGTCTCTCGGCCTTGTCAGCAGTTCCTAACCATACAACCTTGCTTGCCGAAATCAAGTCGTTCGTGCGTTAGGAAGTTGCCCGCCAGGTCTCTTTACTGGCTTTCGCTCCCCCGCAACATGCTCAGCAGCCATCAAGTACACTTCTACCTCCGCTGTTGAGCCATTCAGCAGGAAATCGCGGAGGTCGTTCCTGAATATCACCAGCCGCCTCCTGTATCTGCGCCACTCAGCTACGCCCAAGTTGTCGCCAGGGCGCCCCCACCGATTTCTGTGGCTTGCCCCCTAAGTTACACCGAAACCATCGCCAGGCCCCAGGCCTTCGGAGAAACTGTGTCGCCTACATACGCCGACGTCATCCACGTACCCCGAGTTCCACCCACCATGCAGTCATATCAGCAGCCGGCTCACCCATCGCGCTCTGCGACATGGATGGGACCCACGAACCGATGGTGCACTTCTGACAATCGCCCCATCTGCTTTGCTTGTGGTTGCGTTGGTCACGTAGCACGCTACTGCAATCGTGGCAGCAACCGCAGGTTGCCTCCAACTTTCCCAGCCAAACGAGCCGCTCTTATGACCAACCGCCGCCTATGTCACCGTCATCCCGCCCCGCTCCGTCTACCCGCCGTTCACCATCACCGCGATGTCGCTCACTGTCACCGATAAGGTTACGTCCACTCGAGGGCGACCAGGAAAACTAGTCGTCCCAGTCCACGAGGCGAGGGCTGCGATGCTGTCGAACTGCGGAAGCCTTCAGGAAAGCCCATCGAACGGGATAGACGTGCTTGTGGATAGTGTTCGTGCATCTGCCCTTGTAGATACTGGAGCCGGGTATCTGTCATGGACGCAAAACTTATCCGATTAATGCGCAAAGTGACCACGCCACTTTCTGGGCTGCTCCTCTTCTTACAAAAAGGGCGACCCACTAGAAGGCGCTGCAGAGGACGACCCACTGTTCGAAGGCTTCGCCACAATAATAAAAAATCACAAACTTTTAAAGTAAATGTGCATTTTTTGGTGTTCATTTGTACATTTGTTTTTTCTCGTGAAAAACAAGTTCAGGGACCCACCGTTGTAAAGGCAAGTCGTTTTGGTCGGTGGACAATAAGTATTCATGGTTAGTTTTTGGGCTTTCACTATAACACCTTTCAAAATAATGAACAAATTGGCCTGGCCCCCTGGAGTTCGTCATACCGAGATTTCACGGTATACAACACTGGCGCAAGCATTTGGTATTTCACAAACAGTGGTCTAGCCAGGAGAGGATAGCTCTATGAAAGGCCGTTTCACAGACAATAAATGATTAAGAAGCCCACCTGCTTGTGATGGGTACATTTGTGAGAGACAGAACAAACAGATTATGAAACAAATGCAAAATGCTTCTCTCAACCCAACAGCCTCCTTCATGGGTGCTGGAAGCAGAATAGTCAGAAATTTGGGCCAAGATGCCTCAAAGTTATGAATAAATTATGTGCACACAATGCATGGCTACTGGTTTGTCTAGATTTGACAACAGACATTTCTATCCTCAAAAAACATCTGTCGCAGAGAGAGCCGGTGTTAACAGAGTTACAAACACATTAGACTAATTCTACAATTCTCAATTGCCAGAATCTGAATGCCAGCAATAGCTTAACGCTTTCAATCTGCATGAGTCCAGGGCAACAAACAGACAATGGCAATCTGTCACATGTAGTCAAGTGATGCTCCATTGGATAAAGAAAATGCAGATTTGTTATGTCCTATGGATACACTAGAAGCAGCTCGTGTTTGGTCCTCGTCAGCCCTCACATTGAGCTCTACTGCCATGAAGTCGTCCCATCTCAATATTGCTGTTTCTAAAGCGTTATCTTGCCTTGCAGTAGCCAGCAAGGCACCAGACTTGTCAGGTGACAGGCTGTGTTCTTCTGTTTCAGACTTTCTACCCAGTGAACATGCTGCGCAATGTCGCTCTTCAACAAGTGAACACACCATTCGTGTTCCTGACTGACATTGATTTTCTTCCTATGCATGGCCTCTATGAGTACCTGAAGCGGTCCGTATTTGCTTTGGGTCTTGAGTCCTCGCGCAAGGTGAGATGACTGTTCACGTTGAGCTAAACAGTAGTTGCGAAGATGAGACACCCTAAAGAAGCGTGTTGTGTTTCTGTCATTCATTTCCAAAAGAGTAAAACGATAGCTCAGACGAAAAGATCATGATACTAATATGTTGCTAAGGTCAGCGCCAATATTGTGGAAGATTGTGGTAAGGCTGAATGAAGAGTGTGAAACAAACCTGTTAAATGTTGGTGGGGAACTACCACTTCACATTCAGATACATTCTGCTGCTAATGGTAGTAGAGGTGGTCTAACACATAAATGATGATGCTGTAAATGAACTACAAATGCTAAGTTATGCAGCTTTGTGTAGAGCTAAACCTATTTGTTTTATTGTGTTAAAGCTTTCTCAATAGTATTGACATTGATAATGAGCCCTTGCATACGTCTTGTATCTTGCATTGAACATACTCCTGTTGACTACAAATTACTATTACTAAATGTTGCAGTTGACCGGCTGTGATGCTTTCCTGCAATTCTTTTTAACTTAGCTCAGTACATTTCTTTCACGCTATTTTCCACACTTCACTGTATACTATCAATGTAGTTTCAACACCCACATCTTCCTCTTACAGGCACTGATAGTGCCCGCATTTGAAACACAAAGATACCGGCTGAGTTTTCCAAAAACAAAAGCGGAATTGCTTTCCATGTTGGATATGGGTACACTGTTTACATTCAGGTAAGCCTATTCACCTTTTTTTTTTATTATTGAGGTGGTTGTGACTACATTTCAAGAAATGCACAACACTGATTAGACCCATAGCCATAGGCTAGTAGGGGGTCTAACGGGAGAAAGTATACAAGCAGAATACAATTTGTATTAAAAAAAAAAGAACAGAAAATCAAAAAACGAACAAAACTACAAGAAGATGTCATTGGGATTTAATGTGTCGTAAATGCTTGAGAGAACGTACAGAAATGTATATAAAACACATTGTTGCACTTTGTTCAGAAAAAATGAAATAATCAAGTACAGACAAAAACATCCAACTATGTGTAAGGCTTAGTACATCGTCAATACTGTTGTTCTAGATGTTAGAAATATTTTTTGAGCGCGCTCGAGAAAGCCCTGGAATCTTTAATCTGAAGTGGTATGTTATTCCACACTTTAGCTCCTACGAACTGTAGTAAGCGTTCACCATACAGGTTTTTAGTAGGTGGAAGATTAAAATTCCGCAATGTCATGCATCTAGTGACGCGGGATGAGGAAAAAAAGATAGATACATCGAAAGGTACACTGTGTGCGATAACATTACTGATGGTGACTGCGGTTTTATGCTGCCGTAAGCAATCAAAAGGTAGAATTTCCAACTTGTGAAACAGACGCACTGGGTTCATTATATGCCGCATAATCTATTGTTCTAAGTGCACGCTTTTGTAATATTCGGATAGGATCAAGGTAAGTTTTAAAGGTCCGTCCCCATGAGTCTAAGCAGTATGATAGATGACTATGAATAAATGAAAAATAAAGGACTCAGAATATTTCTGCTAAAATAATTTCTAGCAGCCAGTAGCATACTGCAGCCAGATGCTAGCTTAGTACAAACAGAATTAATTTGTTTTTTTCCAGTGTAATTGGCTATCGAACAGTTCAAGTACTATTGATCACATGCATTATTGCAATGGTGTGACTGCAGATACCATGTGTGGCAGAAGGGCCATGCACCTACAAACTATGCGAAGTGGCGAACAGCCACAACACCCTACCTGGTAAATTGGGAGCCCAACTTTGAGCCCTACGTGGTGGTCAAGAGGGATGTGCCTGAATACGACAAACGTTTTGTCGGCTTCGGTTGGAACAAGGTTGGACCCTTTTATAATCAATTTGTTTTATCATTATGTTACTTGACTACAGTGGGAAGAACTAGCTATTTTTATTGGGCATGGTGACTTGTTTTCTGGCTATGGCATCTTCTGCACTGCCTACTTGCCTTTAGTTTCATTAACTGTCTTATTTTGTTATCCTGTTTTCCTTCAAGCTTGTTATATTGTTAAAATGTGAGAAGGTTATACTCAGAACGCGGGGGCTCTAAAGTCCTTTGAACTAAGCGTTATCAACTTGAAAGGTTATACGAAATGACACAACAAAGGTGCACAAGAAAGGTCTCATTTCTTGGTTTCTCGGAGTCCTGAGGGACCATGAAATTGCCCTAAAAATTAGGCAAGTAGTGTACCATCACAGTGCAGTACTTGCCTCAGGCAGCATCGCCCGCGTTTCTCAGTTGATACTCTTCTGCAGCTGCAGAGTATTTGCTCTGTGCTGTGCTACATTGGTGGCCAATTATTTGCAAGCGTCTTAAATTTTTTAATTTTTTCCATAGATCATATACACTAGTTACCTAGAATTTTGCACTTTCTTTTCAGCATAAGCAAGCAGCACCTTCTATTCTGCTGCAGTGCCTAATGAAAACATTCAGAGAAGTCTGTGCACCTATCATGTGTCGTGAACCAAATTTCTTTTCCTTAGAGATCCTTCAGAGCAAGTAATGCAATTTATTTCAGAGGATTCTAGCGTGACCTTGTGTATGGAGTATATTCCATTATTCGGCCTGTTTTAGTGCCACAGCTTTTAGTATTAACCAGAGTATCAGCTACTTACATTTGCTCTTCAATGCACTCTGCAGCCTTTTTGAATTGCGATTTTAAGGGGAGATGCGGGTAGAAAAACGCGAGTTTTTTTCAAAATTACTGATTTTTTATTTTTGCCTGTTTTGATAAGATTAGTACCTCTACTGTTATGAAGAAAATAATAAAGTTCGAGACTTGACTGGAAATGCTTAAAAATTTCATCTAAAGAGCACAAGGTGCCTGTTAAAAGGTCGAAAGTGTGCAGTCTTCGAGCACCTTGCCGCCGATAATGCGCCGCCGATAGCCATTGTTGATCGCATGAGTCGAAGAGTCGAGCCTCACTCTTCAAATAACAGTTTCTCTCGCTGATGCAGCACAAGAAATAATAAAAACAATCACTCTTCTGCGCGTTTTTCGAGCGCCGCGACTGGCTTATCACATGGTACGAAACGGGGACCGCCATTGGCCGCTGCGCGCCTGTATGTGCTGCGATACCTATTTGCGGGGTCCATGTCTTGTCGAGCAGCGCAGCTGAACAATGCTTTAACTATGCTTTTATCGTGTAATTATCTCCGTTATGAATGAAAAAAGGCATTGCTCGCAAGTGAAAGCCGTTTTGCGGCGCGCTCTGTAGGAATAGGCTACGGGCCGCTGGTCCGATTTGCGGCAGTTGTTGGCTTGCAAAAGCCAATGCGGCAAAGTCGTTCACACCTGTCAACCGGAAAGTTCCTGATGCGGCAATCGATGACGTCAGCGCCAATTTTGTGAGGTCGAAAGAGCTCGCAGTGAGAGTACTTAGCAGGGACGACATTGCCATTATGTACGACGGTATGTGGCACAAACATGGCTGCAAAATGGCATGACACTGCACTTAGTTTGGATTTCCCAGTCCTGTTGAACTTCTTCCTAGCTTGCAGTTGGCACAAGGCTCTGCCAGATGGAGCGGAAGTTTGGCAAGCGTTTCATGGCCCTGTCTGTGAGCGAAATGTCTGTGAGGAGTCTGCTCGAAAATGCCGAGAGGGACAAACTCATGGTGCTGGCGTATTTTAGTCGCAGTGGCCACTACAAGAAGGATTGTTCTTTTTGGTGTGCAAATTTCATCTGATTAAATAATATCTTTCATAAATAAAAACTCAATTTTAACTTTAAAACTCGTTTTTCTCAAAACACAAATTTTGCTATTTTTCCAATGTGCCCCTCCTTTTTCGGGTGCTTCTAGTGCTCGGATCTGCATGAAATTTTGCTCAAATTTTTTTCAAAGTATGACAAATGCAATTATCTAGTTTAAATTTCAATATTTTATTGTATAATAAAAAGAATTGTATATATACGTTTACTAGGGTAGGTGAAATATGGACTTTTTACGTCTATTATTTTTCACTTGCATTACATATTTTGTATGTGCTTCCTAATTAGTTATTTGCACTCTGCACTTTATTTGAAGCATTATAAACTATGAATGGTAAAAAATTACAGAATCTTTGGGATGAAAAGAGGGGAACAAAAGGGTTAAGGTTTTCACTTTGTCATGTTGCAGAGCTAAAAGTGTGTAACTTGCAAGAAAACTAATTATATATCATGAAATCAGCATAAAAAGTTCCATAAACAGCTCAAGTTTCATTGCTCTAGGGTGAATATTAAAAAAAAAGTGTCTTCGAGTAGCATCTCCCCTTAAATCATTAGCTTTTTACGCGAGAAAGGCTACAGATTTGTGACAAGCACCAGTGCACCCAATGTATTATGTTGCGCTTTTTAGATGCATAAATAGTGCCCGAGAACAAATAAATAGCATTAATTTTATATCGTTCATGCTTTTCTAACTGCAATAAAGCTTTGGTAAAACTTGGAAATCCTGTATGTTGCTTCTGTAAATTTCGACTCCATTCCCTGTGGTGTGGTCCTCGCCATCTCAAGCTGTTCTGTTGTCCTTGAAATTTCTGCTTTATGGGTTTGTACTATCGTCAGTGTGTGCCAATAATATGAACGTGCTCAGTAGTTGTGTTCAATTGGCTTAGTTTCTTATTAGACACACCAATCTTTAGCTCTGACGTGTGTCCGCCATCCTTTGCAGGTTTCCCACATTATGGAACTGCACGCCCAGGGCTACGAGTTTGTGGTGTTGCCTAATGGATTCATGGTGCACATGCCGCACGCTCCATCACTGGACATTGCCCGTTTCCGGTCAAGCAGCCAGTACCGCAAGTGCCTCTCCCTGCTCAAGAGCGAGTTTGCAAGGGACCTCTCGCTGCGCTATGGCCGCACTTTTTCGGCATCACCCGACCGCCGTCGGCGCAGATGATCGCCTGCCGTGCACCATTGCCACTACTGCACCGTCGTCAGGTGCCCCGCCCCCACTGTCTTTCCGACAACCATTGCACAAGCCAGTGCAGGTTGTCTCTTCATGGAAGCCGCTGGCAAAGCTTGGTAATAGCATGCTAAGATGCTAAAACATGTGGCTCATTGCTTGATACATCGTCAACTACTACTTGTATGCTTCTTAGCATAACGTGCTTTGTTTTGGTTCTTTCTAATGTTCTGTTGTAAGGTCAAAGCTGTGCTGCTAACATTGCATACCAGAAGTATATGGTGAAGCTTTTGAAATGGTGCCCACTGTGGTTTTTGTTTGATAGACTGGACACCAAGGCTAGAAGAATGTAGTTGGTGACAGCAAGGCAATCTGCAAATTCAGAGGATTAGTGTGGACGCGTCTAATGATGAAAAGGTGTATAGCCCTTGAGTTAACTAGTAGAGGTTCATGTCCTTCAGTGGAGATCAGCAGTGCTTGTGGGGTTGCCAGCTCCGGTTCTAAATAGATTACCTCACCATTTACACATGTAACATACCATATCATTTAGGATCTAGCACAATTAGCTGTCACCATTAAGCAATCGACTGATTATCTTCTTCACGAAGTCAGTTCTGAAATTTAGATCTGGACTACCAAAACTGGCTGCTTACCTGACTGGCATGCAACATCCTGCTTTGCACCAAGTCTCTTTCACGTAAGGGTGTGTCAAGCATCAACAGTCATATTCAAGTTTACGGTGGGCTCTGTACTCTTAGCACTGTCACATGATTACTGATTATGGAACTGTACTCGAAACACATTATTGAATTGCGCAAGACTTCATAAGTAATTATCCTGAAACTTTGTAGAAAGGAACCTAGCTTCTGGAACCAAGTGTTCTGGTCTTGGTTGTGTCATGTGGCACTCTTGGAACTTTCATTTCCAAAAGACTAAACAAAAGTAACAATAATGACTCGCTTCTATTCCCAGTTCCTTCAGGGAATGTGAGCACTGCAGTAAATTAATAAAATATTTTGTTTGACATGGCCATGCCCATAATTGCTAGATTCTTTAACAATGACTCTGTAATGTGTACCACAAATAACAAAAAGCAACTAGGTATGCTGTAATGAAACTGTGGGATTAAGCTGTGTTTTTGCACGAAAATGAGTGGCATAGCTTGTTGCTATGGCTCTTTATCACACTAGCCTGCAAAATCACATTTGTAGGAGCTCATTTGCTACACAAGTTTTATCTCCGCGGAAGCTCTCTATGGCTGTAGCTATGGTGATGCACGATACATGTACATTAAGGGGTTCACACACTCGGTTTTTTCTTGTGTGCTTCTTTTTTAACTCGCCAACTTCTGAGCCCATGCTGTCTGGTCCCAAACTCATGATGGCAACTTCATCATGACACGATTGCTTCGAAGGGTCCCCGAAATGAATTTTTTAATTTATGTAAGCTGTTAGGCTGCAAGTAGAGTAAATCATTCATGCAATAATTTACGTGAAGCATCTTGTGTCAAATGAGTTGTAGGTGACCTGAGGTCATTCTCCTCTGAAATTGTGCCCTTTCTTCTCAACTCCTTCATTGAATGGTTTGAACGATTGGGGCTCCACAACTAATGACTTTCTGCTGGCACATAGTTGATTGGGTAGCTGCACTTCATGTTTTTCTGGTTGATTTTCGTGTCACTTGGTGCTGCCATAAACATACCTATTAGCTTTGGCCCCTGCAGTAAAAACTCTATGAAGGCAAAAGAATGGGAGGCAGGTCGAGTTGGCTAGGGTTCATATTTAAGGACGCACAATATGCGGAAGCACAAGACAAATGAGACCACAAGACAATGCATGATTGAAGTACTTTGTCCTGTGGTCTTCTTTGTCTTATTTTTAAGTATTTTGCACTGCTTTGAGTATGACCTAAGAAGGCAATCAGATTAGTCACATGAGTGATCTCTCAATAGCATGCCATGCTGCAATATCTGGGTAGCTGAAAACTTGCGGGGCACTCTGGAATCCATAGTGACACCATATATTGAACCCTGTGTAATAAATTACAAGTAAAACTATTTCCGAGTACTTTTAGTGCTTTTGTATCTTACCACATATGTTGGCATCATCATGGTTGACAACTATCATGATTGCTTTGAAATTTCAGGCTTTGCATTTACGATATGCTGAACAACTCGCTCAATCAACAAAGCAGTGCCAGTTCATTTTAGTAACATTTTCACTTGGCCTGTGCAATATGGCGTTTGTTTTTTCTGATGACATATATATCATTATCATGTGGGGAGATTTATTGATATCACTGCTACACATTCTTAAGTAGCACCAACTTAAATGTGACATTTTTGGTTTTACTTTTCTGACGATATGAAAAGGTGCACTTAACATGTCAGATCATGTCAGTACATAGTGCATGTCCACTTCTAAGTTGTGCAGTCACCCTCTTTAAATTGATTTAATATGATTTTCAAGCTGTGTGCAATTTTTTCATACACCAAAGACTCAGTAACGGGTTGCAAGGGCAAAAGCAGGTTCTTTGGCCTGTCAAATTTTTCTTAGCCTCCAGGGTATTTTTTGTGTGTAAAAAAAAACATTGGTAATTAAATTTCATTGCCTTAATTGAGACATTCATATTGACTGTCATTATTATTATGATTGGCTGAGATGTCATTTTTGAGAGTACTAAAGGGCTTCTCTCGACTGTTCCTTAAAAATTTTGTTTTACACTGGATACTGTGAAGTGCTGTCTGGGAATCAGTTTACAGCAGGAATTTCCCAAGCTGATTCGTTGTTGGAACAAACTGGTGACATTGAAAAGTTGGGTAGTTATGCTGCTAGGAGGTGAGTGTCACTAGAAATGTAGACATACACTGTTTCTGGCTTGACTAATGTCCAAGGCAACATCTGACAGTTTGTGTTGTGTTTCCATCATGAGCCACGCCTCAGTTTTGTTTTCTGTCATCTATTTGCTTTGCAGTGCCCCCACAATGACACATTCAATGCTGGACAATTTAACAAGGTCACATGCCATAGCTGGTCATGTTGCAGGCTATGCATCTTATATAGAAGCGATCACGAAGGTATTCTTGACACTGCTGTAGCTAAAAACAGGGCTTCCTCGAGTGGGAGGCTGCTTAGGTTCCTATTTCACTTTTCAACTATTTTCAAACTGTGGAGATATTTGATGATTAAGAGACACGATGGGCCACTGATTGATTTTCATTCCATACTTGTCTGTTTGCAATGCCAAAAAGGGGTGAGAGGCCTTTAAGCAATAGACTGAACTGTAATCAAGTCTGCAGAGCACTTACCTTAATTTTTGTTCATACGATCTTGATGAAATTTAACAGTATAATACTCATCCACACGATTTTCACATCGGTTAAAATTTTTATTGTGCTTGAGCCACGATCCACAAGTGTCGAATCGCTTCCCATTCATTGTGTGACGTTCCGATTTGTTGCTATTGCATTCATTGCTTCACCCTTACAGCGAAACTGACTTTTTTTACCAATACACTCATCACTCTACATCCATGATACGGTTTATTGACTCCAATATGGATGATTTAATACGCATTGGAGGCCCAGTCAGTGCCCTTTAATGTTCAGTTAGATGTGCTGCATTATCATAGCTCATTAAGACCGTAACATTACCTCAGTTACTTGTCGACATCTATGTTCTGGATGCACATGGAGCGTGGAATAACTTGTGACTATGGCAACAGTCACTATCATCACTATCATCAGGAACAGTTTTTCTTCTAATCTCCATGCTCCACTCAATTTTTGAGAAAGCCTGTCTATCTTATTAGCTTTGTGATAAGCTTGAAGCAAAGTGCTCAGTAGGCCTATTATCATTAGCAGTGCTTTTGTAAAGACATGCGGCAAAATTGATGGGATTCAGAAAATACTGTAGTGATAGTAGATCGGAGAGTTTACTTACTGTATTACTTAGTGCATAATCAGCTGAAAATATGTGTATTGCCTTGGTGCAAGTAATTATGAATGGAGGCTCGATAACACTGTTGACTCATCACCATCTAGGTAGAAATCTACCTAGGTAGCATCCGCACCTAGATGAAAAATGGGCCACTCGTGTACATTTCGTCATCGTGCTTTGGTTTACAGAATGAAGCAATATCTAAGAAACAAACATATTTTTTAAAACCCTTCGAGAACATCATGAAGTTCTGTTCAAGATCATGTGAGATGTGTTTAATGTAACACACACCCAAGAAAAGAAGACTCCAACAGTCTTGACTTTGTAAGTGTTCTTTCAGTTCTTTTAATTTTTGTTGTTTTATGGTAGCAAGTCATTTTGTAAAAAAAGACATCAAATGCAACAGATAATTTTTTCAAAGTTTCATACCAACACTCTCGTGCTGGTACGATACAACATCCCAAATTTCAAAGTACTTTCCTATATCTGTGTTGTTATCAAGGAGTAGTTGTTCTTGAAGATTTTCAAGTTTGCTGTTTCAGGAAAGCAGAATCGTATAATAATGCTGTTATTTGGCTCCCTTATAATCCACGTAATCTTTCTTAGAGTCTATGTAGTCTTCTCAAATTTAGCCAACAAAACTTTTGCTTAACCCGTGAAGACATCCTGGCATGCTGGTATGCAATACTTCAAGCTGACGTTGCAGACCATCTTTAGTTTTCGTCATTTACGCAACCAATCTTAAAAGTGTTTTTCTTTGCATCGCAGAAAGGTAATTTACTAATCCATTTAAAACTAATTATCTTTAGTGTCCCATTACAAGCTTGGCTTATACATAATAGATGTTCCTAATTGTTAAGATGTCAATGTTTTTTTTTGTTTTTTTTTCATATGTTTCTATTGTATTTTGTCAATTCATACGGACCAGTCAGGTTTTTTTTTTTTTTTTTTTTTTTTTTTTTTTTTTTTTTTTTCAAGCATTGCCCAGCTTAATGATAGAAGATATTATGTTAGGTGGGCACGATTCCACGTAGAGCAACTGAACTTCAACACTTAACAAAGCAATTTTTTACCTTGAATAACAGTAGCAGTGTGTTACTCCAGCAGTGATCCTAACAAACAGTTGTAATCAATAAGCATTTTCCCTCCGTTTTCGTCTGTGAATGTCTTTGCTGTCTACTGTGAACGTCACTGGGACGTGAAAATACCAGGCAACGCCTGAGACTCGCAAATACATGGGCTTTCACTTTTATCTACACAGTGCGAGGTAGTGGCTAGTAAAGCCAGTGTGTGAAGTCAACTTGCCAATGAGTTTGATTATTTTGTTCACCCTTGTTATTGTGGACCACTTTTTGTACTTCAGAATGTGCTTATTGGGCTCAAGTGATCATGTTCTCTTTTATGTTCCATTCACTATAGCCAGCAGCAGCATAAATTGTGAGGGCAGTGCTTTGCCGCTAGTGTGTATTTTATTTGTGTTTTTGATTGGCAACATGCAATTCATGCAGACGTCTATTTGCATAAGAGCACTCACTCTGGACCACCTCTACTGTTGAGTGCTGGCCTTTTTAGTTTTCCATATTGGCTTTCTTAAGCTGAACCAGCACTGTCTGTTAAAGAAAGAGAGAGAGAGAGAAAGTTTATGTGATGAGCTGTCTTCACAGAGGAGCACAGTGCCTTCACCGTGCCCCCCCCCCCCCCCCCCCCCCACTTTTTTGGAGTACTAGCACGGCTGCAAACTGTCTACTGCAGGAAGCTAGCCTCTCGAAAACAACTACCCCTGCTTGTGTGAGTCCACTGTTCGGGGAGAACAATGGAACACCCTTGTTTACCCCTATCTGTTAATACTGCTGTGTCTCTACATTCTAGATTGGCCATTCTCATTGATATTCATGATACAGGGTGTTCATTTGACAGTTTTGTTGCTGCTGCTCTAATCAATGCTTATGTTCGGGGCGCAATGTCAGGATGTTTTTGTATATCTTTTGCTGATTTTTTTGCTGTTTTGTAATCAGAAGCCAGCATTAGTTCCTATGATGTCAGTGTCCATCTCTACATGCTTGAAGTGGTGCGTGTTTGAAACAATGAATGTACTCTGAAACAGCAGGTCCAAGTGGGTCTGCTCACGCAAGCTGGTTTTGAGGCATTGTACCTTTCTATGCAAAAATGTGGAAGGACATTGAAACATACTGCCTGGTTGTGGAACCTCGGCTTACCGTTTTGTGTAGGAGCTCCCACATTTTTTGCAGCATAGTATACCGCCTTTTTGTGTTGACCATTGAAGCTGCTGTTTTTCTTTGCATTCTTATGTGTGCCATTGCAGCTTGTTACAAGACAGCCATTGATACGTCGTGTAAAGATTGTATCCACAAGGTATTATTTTAAAGTTGGTAATAGCTAAGCAAGTGGTTTAACCTCAAAATGATGCTAACAAATGGGTGACTCTGGCTCCTGGATCTGTGCATATTTTTGTGGTAGAGATGAAAAGGTTTATTTCGTAACATGGCTGTGATCTGTCAACAACGTGCCATAAATAGCGGCCATTTTTTGTTTACTAAAACTGTGAAATGGCAATCTTTGTGTTTGCACGTTATGATCATCACTGTGTATCAGTGCTTTGGCTCTATCTTGTCTCCCTGTCATGAACATTGTTGCGAGTTGTTCGCAGTGCAGTCAGAGGAATAAGAGAAAAGGGTTGAATTCAAGTCGCCCCTTCCCTAACACAATTAGAAGAGTTCAGTCCACATTAACCTTTGTGCTATAAAGTGTGCTATTTGGTTTGGACTGCTAGTAAATAATTTCGTATGCATCACCTTGAAGGTTGCTCAACTCAAGCAAGAAAAGGAGTTCTCACTCACGTTAGCACATTAGTGCAGGAAATCAAACTTAGTACCACAGTTATAGTGGCACCTCATTGTTACAGCTAACCAGTGAACAAAAAAATGTATTCTACGTCCTGAAAAACGGTATGATCAAAGTCAATATTCAAACAGATAATGTACGGCGTTATCAACTGTGAGCATGTTCAGAGCAGAGAAAATTGTAAAAAGCTGAAATGTACCAAGGAGGCTCTGCTGCACAATTTATTAAAATATTAACGGTGTATACATACGTCA